TCCTACAATGCTGAAAATAGGAAAAGAAAATGAAGAAGGGGAAGGAAAGCGTACAAACAGAAAGAGACAAAACGAGAAAGATAGAGGGAAAAAATCCAGGGAACCAATGACGAAAGATCTCGTACCCCGAACCGAGTACGCACGGAAAAAGTGGGAAAAAGGAGGATACCGAGGCCAGCGAGAGACTATAAAAAGGATGGTACGAGAAGACAAAATAACAGTCGTGAGTGACCAACCTCCAGCTCCAGTACGTAGTGTAAAAACTGCGTAATGGAATACATAGAAGCTAGAAAAAGGAAATCGTTGGAGTTTGTGCAACCTGAGTTCCCGACATTCTTCCGCAAAAACGGCGGAATACTACTAACTTGTAACACAGAAGTGACTGTTAAGTGGATCAAAGTAGCTATCAAATTCATAAAATTAAAAAGCGGCTGCGAACTAACGATCGAAGACAAGACAGCACTGGACAACAGATTTTCAGTAGAAGGAAGGGGCACGCACTCCCGTTTTACGGGAGCAAACATACTAAATGAGATACAAAAATTCAACAACGACATAGACATATCCAGATGGAAGATAACACGAGAGAAACCAACCAGATCCGGCCTAATAATAACAATAGAAATGGAGGGAAGATCCGTCGGAATTTTAAAAAGAAGGAGGAACAGGCTGGCACTCGACCAAAACGGAATACATAATTTCACAATTCTTACGGTGACTCCGGCGAAGAATACCAGACAAACAAGACCACCGACAGTAGTAGAGATAACGGAAGATGACTTCGTAAACGTGCCAAAAGAAGGAGCTGAACAAGTAAAGACAACAGTCAATTCAAACGCTTCACTGTTTATAAAAGAAACGATACCACAAAGAGAAGAGATCAACCCCTTTGACATCGCTGGAGACGAATACATTTTGTCGACGAACGTTAACTATTATCAAGAAATGGAAATCTCCATGAACAACGATCCAACGATAAATAAGGGCGCCCCGACGGCGTCAAAGCCGAACGTGACACTAACAAACAGCCCGGCTCAAGAGAAAGAAGAGATAACGAGCAAACAAAACGTAAAAGAAAACAACACAACGAATAAAGACAACGAAACAGACTTCGAGGAAGACCTATTAAGGATCTCACTCCCAATAGAAGAGCCGACGGAGAACACATCCGCCACGTTAAAACTGTACAATAGAAAGGAGGGAAACAAAATAGGAAATAACGGAGCGCAGGGAAAAATAAAACATGACAGGTCAGTTATAAAAAATTACTATCAATATGGTAACAGACAATGATTTATTCAACTCTCAAAATCCCATTGCCCAAATTACAAATAATATATACAGAGATAAAAATTAAAATACCCCAAAAAAAAACAAAAAGAACCGCCCTGGTCTCCTGACCGAAATAACATTAACAAACAAAAACAACGCCCAATGAAACCTGAAAACAAAAAGACAAAACACGATCATTAATATGAAAAAATTCTTCTCTATGTTTTAAAAAATACAGGAATCATAGGAAACACAACCATCGTAACGGAAGTATCACCAGCAACGGAACCATTATAATGTAAAGGACAACCTACAAACTAAGGAAAAACTGGAGAGGCACGATACGTACGACAAACAAGAAGAACAAAAACTGGACAAACGGAAAACGTAATCCACGACGAAAGAAGAACAAATCAACAAGACAACAACTACGAAAAGCAAAAATGTATATAAAAACAAATAAAATTTTACTATTAACATTAATCATGACCTAACTCTAAGAAAACATGTAAATATATACACACATAGATATAATGTGTAAATACAAACCTATTGATAATAATCTGAAGTCGACTAGAAGTGATCACTATCTCCCCAAAGAATAAACTCCTACCGTCGTTCTCACCAAATCAAAGACGCACAAAAATTCTTCTTTTTCCAAGTCAAAATAATCCACACACCGCAACCCCAATTGAACGGTCATCCATCTTCTGCAGACCTGAAAAAGAATAAAACTAAAAATGTAAACAGAAAGAAATTCGACATATACAGGAAATAATAGACAAAATCACTATACTCTACAGCAAACATATTTACACTTCAAACAACAACCAAGCGGATACCCCCAAATTCAGCTTACAAAATATATATATTTCAAAAATAGGGGGGAAAAAATTCACTCCGACCCACATCCCGAGCAATAAACAGACGCAATTCCTTTGAAAATCATAGACAACCGATACTCCCACACACCGTCCATAAAAACACAGTTAAAAAGAAATCAAACGAACGAAAAAGACAGCAAACGATCTACAAAAATACAAAAAGACGACCGACACATATCAACAAACAACCCCTCGAATAACAATGATATTGCAAATTAGTCACCTGAATCAGAATACATTTAAACCACCGACTCAACCAACCTAAAAAAACGAAAACCCGTAAAAACCTCGGTTAACCCATACACTGTTCAAGATAGGAAAATCAAATAATTTGCATACAACCGTTATAAAATTCACAGAAAACAAAGAACCAACAAATACACATCAATCTGACGTACATAGGTTAGGTCGAGAGAAACATAAACACGGGCCCAACACGGCACCGAAAAAGCATTACAAAAGGCACGCGGACTGAGAAACTTGACGCGCGAAATCCAAACGATAAAGAAAGGAAAAACGACCCCAGACACTCAAACAAACAGAAACGGCTAAACAATAGACGGAAGAAAAAGAACAAAACCAAAAACCAACACAACTAATGAAATTAACACTGACTAAAACAATACAAACGATAGAACGATAATAGAATAAAAACAAGACAAATTAGAATAAAATAACATTTAGACAACGGTTTTTATCCGCAATATATAGAACATAATAAATGAAACATACGAATGCACAACACACAAATATTAACAAACCATCAGAAATTGTCACGAAACACCAACATACATATAAACAATATATTAAACGCAAGACTACAAGTACAGAAACGTACAATCTCGAATACAAATACACAAATACAGATAACGAGACAAATAAATCCTCTAAAAATACAAATACAGGATCAGACAAGAAAAACGAAATAAAAATATACCAAGATAAACTAACAAACTTAAAAAATATTCATAAAAACCGCACAATCGCGATTAATGAAAATTGAAACTACTCCCCATGAATTAACTACAAAATAATGTTTATTCAACAATCTCGCCCACAACATAAGAAACATATAAAAAGAAACACCCGATCATACAACGCACAAATATTAACAAATCGACTGAAATTGTTATGAAACAATAACGCAAATACAGAAGACACACGATAGATAAATACAAATATAAAAACACAGGTTCCCGAATACATATATACAAATTCAGTTACCGAAATAGACAAACTTACTAAAGACAATACAGAACCATACAAGAAGACGAAATTAAAAATTACACCAGGACAAATTAATAAACTTAAACCATATACAAAAATCGTATAAACACGACCAACATAAAACCAAAAAATTCTCTCCCCACGAATTAACAATAGATCAATATCCTTTCAATGATCTTACCCGCAATACAAGTAACACACTAAATAAAAAACACCCGACCGTACAACGTACGAATATTAGCAAACCATCAGAAATTGTCACGAAACACCAACATACATATAGACAATATATATTAGACACAAAACTACAAGTACAGAGACGTACAATCTCGAATGCAAACACACAAATACAGGTAACGAGACAAATAAATCCCCTAAAAATACAATACAGGATCAGACAAGAAAAACGAAATAAAAAATATACCAAGATAAAACTAACAAACCTAAAAAATATTTACAAAAACCGCACAATCGCGATTAATGAAAATTGAAACTACTCCCCATGAATTAACTACAAAATAATGTTTATTCAACAATCTCGCCCGCAACATAAGAAACATATAAAAAGANTACCACACACAAACAGCAAATATACTCACGTTGCATACAATAATAATGAAACAAACATCCCCAAGCCTGAATCGCAAGAGGAACAATTAAAAAGAATACATCCTGATCCATGTCCCAAATAACAAAACGATATAAAAACTCCTCGGAAATCATGGATAACCCATACTCACACACACGTTTTAAAAGCACGAAAACCTAAAACATAATCAAAAAAGAAAAATTAAACACACGAATAAAAGACAACAAACGAATTACCAGACAAAGAGATGATTGAAACAGCCCCAGAAATCGACAAACGATCACTTAATCAACCCAAATTAATACTGAAATTACAAACTACCCACCTGGACCACCGCCTGTTTGAACCCCTGATTCAACCGCCACACAAAAACAACAACCTGCAAATAAACACAATTAATACATGCAACACCTAAGACAGAAAAAATTAAAAACGATAACCTGCAATTAATATAAATGGAATTCATAAAAACTGAGAGCAGACGAAAGGCACGCAACGATCTGACATTTATAGGTTAGGCCGTGTAAGACGTAAATACGAGCACAACACGACGCCGAAAGAACAGAATACAGGGCGCGCTGACCGAGAAACTCGGCGCGCGAAAAACTTAAACGATGCAAAAAAGGGAGAACGACCACAGATAATTAAACTAACCAAACTGCTAATAAAAATAAGAAGAAAATAATAAAACCAAAACCACTACAACTTACAAAGACAACATAGACTAAGTGACACGAACTAATAAATAATATCAGAATAAAAACAAAAAGAATCGGATTGAACAATGTTTATTCATCGACCTTAATCACAATTCGAGGAACACAAAATATAAAACTCACAATCACACAACATACAAGCATCAACAAATCGACTGAAAATTGCCATGAAACATTAACACACACGCGAACAATATACAGCACACAATTACAAAATATATATATAACAATCGAAGCACCGTTACGAAGACTTGTCTATAGGACAAGATCGAGTACAGTAGGTATATAAAAATTATTAGAAAAAGGAAAAACTACTTGACAAATTAAAAGTAAAAAAATAGAACGCTTTAGCGTTCGTGGGAACGTCCGCCGCGGACGTGTCCCGCTTTCTCGCGACTGTCCTCCGATCCCGTGGAGACCAGGGTCAGCGCCGCGACGTCCTCCAAACGGACGCCGCGGGGTCACAGTCAGATGTAGGCTTGGACGTTTGGCAATTGTTTTACGCCTGAACGAACTCGCTGAAGTTTGACCTTGACCCGATCAAAACGGTATCGGTTCTTAAAAGGACGGGAACAGGTGGCACCGCGAGAGGTCGACTCGGGGGCAATATAAAAATCTAGCAGATCCTCTCCAATCATCCCCTACCCTCACCCCCCGTGTTTTCAGGGCACCAGGGTGTGCCGGCGGCGTCGAGGACATAGTATACAGGACTATAAAAATCCCCTCGATGGAGACTTGGACGTGACACCCGTTTTTTATTTTTATCGCGTACTTATTGTCACGGACTCGTCAAAGTGAGGGTCGTCCTGCGAACTGTCCAAGACGTATAAACCGCGATGAATTCTTGGAGCCTTAGCGTCAGGCGGGCTACTCGAAGAAGTTGCGGCCGTCGGTCGGTCAGGAGCCTTTCTTCTCTTCACAAGGGCCGCGACCTACACGATTTTCTCTCTCTCTCTATCGCGCGTTCTATACTCAAAACTTCACCATCTGTCTTAGATTAAATTCTCGACATCCATAGAGAGAGGATAAAACCTCTCTCATTTGATGGAACTAACCATCCTCCACTATCTCGCGAAGGATCAAATCACGCGAAAAGGGAAAAAGGAAAACCGGACCGCGTCGGAGACCTGTCCATCAATTCCAAACGACGCGGTCTCGGCAGTCCAGGATCATACGAGCGAGGCTGCTCTGATCCCAGGTCGTTATCACACTTAGAGAAAACTTAGAATCACTAGTACGCCGCGGAAAAACTTTTAAAAATTCACGAGTCGAC